ATAGAAGACATATTAATACTAGAAATAAATGACCTTATAATATCACAGTGTTGTTGTTGTTAGTGAGAAAATACAAGCTGTTGGTTGATTTATATTAACAACTTAATATCTTTATTCAATTTCTGTAGTGCATATTGGTGTATAGAAGACATATTAATACTAGAAATAAATGACCTTATAATATCACAATGTTGTTGTTAGTGAGAAAATACAAGCTGCTGGTTGACTTACATTAACAACTTAATATCTTTATTCAATTTCTGTAGTGCATATTGGTGTATAGAAGACATATTAATACTAGAAATAAATGACCTTATAATATCACAATGTTGTTGTTAGTGAGAAAATACAAGCTGTTGGTTGATTTATATTAACAACTTAATATCTTTATTCAATTTCTGTAGTGCATATTGGTGTATAGAAGACATATTAATACTAGAAATAAATGACCTTATAATATCACAATGTTGTTAATTTTAAAACATATCAGGCTAATATAAGCTATATTAATACTAGAAATAAATGACCTTATAACACCAAAATATTGTTTTCATTTAAATAGACATTCAATTGAAATGTTGAGTGTCTAATTAAATAAAAAAAGTGTCATCTCTTGGTGAAAACATTAATCTACAAAGTGTTGCTTGGGCTGGATGTGAATCTGGACTGTAATAAAGGGCTATAATGAAAACAAAAAGGATATTTATAAGCACTTATACCTAATTATATATTAATTTTTGAACATAAGTGACTGTACTAACCATGAGTCTAAAGTTAAGACTTTTCAGTAACTCCTACAATAAGTGCAACAAATACAGTTGAATTTTGAAAGAAATTTTTATATTATCAAATAGTCAGTTCTTCAAGAATACCCGTGTTTAAAGATAAAAAGTAACTCCAGCTCTTTACTATATATCCAAGGCTAGGACTTTTATAAATCTAATATATGAATACCTTAAGTGTATTCAGTTAGGGCCTTCTAGAAGGCTTTCAGCTTTACTATTATAAATAAAACAATTTACTTATAAACATCCTTTAAGTGAAAATCTGTACATTGGACAACCTGTGCTGCGCTCAGCGAAGGGATTGGATCCCACATTTTAGCATAATAAGCCCCCAAGCTTATCACTGAGCTAAGGAGAAGCAATGTTAAACTTAACTGTGAATAATTTTTCCAGCTCTGATAAGTCACACACTTAAAACAATTAATCTAATTGACATGTAATTCTCACACTGACAGTTATAACAACTTGTCCTTTTTTAATCATTTAATTATCAAAGGTCATTGTTCCTCACGGCTTTCTAACTACCACTTATATGCATCTTGAATTGACGTCAATTGTAAACATTTTAAGTAGTCTAATACCAAAGTAAAAACTAACAAATAAGGCAGTGCAATTTACAGAAACATAAATATCTAACACTAAAATACACGACTGTCTATACTTGTTGTGTAGTGTACTTCCAGATGTACTTTGTAATATTTCAACATGCTATAACTAACCTAATTCTAAGCCTTGAAATTTAGAGCAATGTATTTAATATTTTATTTTTATGAATACATCAAGAATGAATATATGGTCAGAATTATCCCAGATATAGTAGGGAAAAATTACTTTAAGTATGCCTATTCAAAAGATCAATAATATCTAATTGCTTTAATTATACAAGTAAAGGACATCTACCCTGTTTCCATAACCAGCCCTCCCTGTCGGGATTGAAGAACGTATGCATCAAATCATTTCCATCATCCTCCGGGATCTTAAATGGCTCCTGTTTTATGCTGTCATATAAACTCTAGGAAAAAAACAAATGAAGCTTTCTATATCAGCAGTTGTAAGGAAAATTTCAATCTTTAAAATTTAAAAACAAAATCAACCACATCTTTTTTTTTTAGATTTTTATGCCTTAAAAGCTTTTTCCAATTTTTTTTTTGTTTGTTATTTTCTAAATGGTGTACATTTCACATTTGATGAAGAGCCCAAAAACTAATATCTTGAGAGGTTTTTTAAATAATGTTATCTTTACCTTGATATAATGTTTCAAAAATTATCGACCAGAAAAAACTCATATTTGCAGCTCATCCTATATTTTGAAGTAGCAAATTTATGTCAGAGAACATGTTTGTGCTGTTTTACTGACATTCCATTGGTGAAAAACTGCACGATACTAAAGGAAAGTTTAAAGAAAACTAAAGAAAAGGTTAGCAGAGTTTTAAGATATTGAGAAAAAGATCCATTTTTTTCTTCAACAAATGAAATAAAATTGTTAAAGAGGCATTATTTATATGCAGAGAACACATTTCCAATAAGTAAGGAAAATTAACAATTGTCTTCGTGGAAAAAAAATGCTCTTCCAGTAGTGTTAAGTGGTTCCAAAATATTTAAAACTATAGATTAAAACATTACCATCTCCTCTTAACTAACACCTATGAAAGAAAGACTAACTAGAGACAATTTTAAAAATTAAAAAGAAACAGTCTTCTCAAAATTATTAAATAAAAAAATGCAAGTAATAAATCGCAATAATCTGGAAAAAATTATCAAAAATCAGAATACTAGCAAATTGAATTGCAATAAAAGCAAATTAAACATTTTGGATATCAAAACAGCCCTGGGAAGTTGACAATAAAAATTTTTTAATGCATTAGAAATAATAAAAAAAATGAGGAATTGAAAATAGCAAAAAATGAATTTTTTCAGCCGTATCTGTCAAATCTCTTTTTTTTTAACTAGTAATAAGATAATGATCTTTTTTAAAAACCAAACAACCTTGAGAATTATGCAACCAATGGGTTTTAGAACTAAAAAAAATTATAATATTCCTAATATCTGTGATAAAAATCACTTAAACTACAGTTTTATTCTCACACTATTCTTAATTTATTCATTACAGATTTTATACCAAAGATGTGTTAAATATTAGTATTTCAGATCTATCACTTATTTCCAATATGTCACTTCCCAAGAGGCCATTCACTCAGTACCAGAACTAATCAATTGGATTGGACAATGAGAGACAAAAGCTTATTTGAAATACCAATACAGTATGAAAATTTCAAAGTTACTGTTGAATTCCAAAAGCTATCAAAGCATTGGAATCTAATATTAGTGATAAAAGTCACTTTAAACTTCAGATTATTATTCCATTTTTACATTCTTCTTAATTAGTGTTTGTTTGTTTACACGGGTGTATAACAAAATATCGCATTTTGAATCTTTCTTTCCTCTTCCACAACATGTAGTATAAGTAATTTGTATCATAAATATTAGATTTATTGGATTACAATAGTTCACTAGCTTTTGACCTTCAAACCTTAACTTTGACCTTAATATCATTTACTAAAGTAAAAGTAAGAACGATCATTCATAGGTATCAATTGAATTTTTCTTTCACATTCATCAAACTTTTTAATTTTGCATTTGAAATTTGGCTAAAATTATTTTAACCTTCTTTTGTCTGAAATTTTGTCTAAAAATGTTTTTTTGTATTTTACCATCTTCTACATTCAATCAATACTTGGCTTGCTTTAATTTCATAACATAATTCCCATACTACAACCAATTAAGTTCAGTGAACTGTTTTATTTCCCTAACATAATTCACATACTTAAACTACTATTGCCAATGCTTTATCAGTAATTAATGCCATTTTTCACCAATATATTACCACAAATTAATACAAGTCCATTCTCAAAAAATGTGTATCTCACCACAATTAATTCATGTGGAAGATCTCCTCCATTGTTGATGCCCCGATTCATATTGATAAACTGTTCCACGGATGGTTTTTCCTTCACGCTGGGGTTGTGTAGCGAAGTGTTTAACATGATAATGGCAAAAGACAGGACATAACATGTGTCTGAAAGTACAAAGTATCTGTCCAGTCATAATATTTCTAGGGTTAGAAGCAACTTGAATTAAACAAAAATTCGAACCTTCAACAGTAATAATTTGCATAATTTACTGATGACATCACCATAACTAAATTTTATGTTTGATGGAAACCCTTTCATTTTACACGTAATTCATAATTCATAAAAATAAAATAAATCATTCACATGCAGCATAAAAGTATGTTATATAGAACAGTGTTCTTTATTTACACATATTTGATACTACTTGGAATGCTCATATGGTTACATAATACTAGCTTACATTGATAAACCACCCTATTGCAGCCAATTGAAAGAACTGCAGCTGACTTAAGTAAAACAAATCTTTACTTAACAGTCACTATTCCAAACAGTTTAACAGCCATAGTAAAATTTATTGTAAAACTGTTGACTTAATAAGTATAAAAATAAACAAAGTAACACTAAGAAATCAACTAGAAAATAAATATGGACCTTCAATCATAGCAAAAAGTTAGAGGAGCGAGTGTTGTTATTAGTCGCATCTTTTTTGACAACATTGTGGATTATCTGAACATATGCTTTGAATAAATGAATAAATTAAAATAATAAAAATAGTTATAAATAAACAGAAAAGCAGAACAAAGTAACAATAAAACTTCAGCTATTAAATAAATGTGGGCCTTGTTGCACCTTTTTACATTAAGCCTTCAATACATTTTATTGAAAAAACTCAGCTGTTAAGCACCCCAACACACCATGCTTCAACATAATAGCCTGCTTCTATACTGGAAAGGGACTGCTACATTTAACGTTTTTTTATCAAATAACTTTTGTTTAAGTAACAAGTATTATACAAGTCAAAATATTATTTTCCATGTAAGTGACATTTAACGTAAGATTACTATTTAACCATTGTCAACAACAGAAAAAACAAACGAGATTCAGCTTGAATGCCGCCCAACGAACGTTTAGAACTACCTTCAAATTCTTTAAATATAACCCTATCAACTTTTTCTTACCAATATTACTAAACACTCCAGGATTTAGCTGACAGTATCTTTGAGCAAATTTTTCCATCATCCTATCAATTTTCTGAGCCTCACCAGGGAGACGAAAACTCCATAGGAACTGCCTATTGATTAAACAACGAGGAATTTTATTTTTTAAAGAAACTTTGCTTGAATAATTCCCACTGTAATGATTTATAACCACAAGAAGTTTTTTATACGTATATTCATAAAATGAAATGTGAACTAAAAATTTAATGAAAATTAACATGTTTTAACTTTTACTTGCATGCAAGAAATAATGTTTTACATTTGTTACTCAATTATGTGTTTGATGAAAAACATAACGAGCCATCTCATCATCTTCACAAGAACTAAACTTACGGTGTTTGGCTATTCTAATGGCTAAAAGTACCTCAAAGCTTGGACCAGAATTAAATCTGTGAAATCATGGAGATCCACAAAGGCATCCAAGACTTTCATATTGAAATCATTCCTAGAATAAAAAATGGAGTAATCATGCTAATAAAAATACAGAATAATCTTCATTCATCTACAAACGCATTCTGGTTTTTTAATTAGTTATGAAAAATATCATAAGAGTCAAACAGTATGTGCAAGTGAAATCTGAGTTATTGTTAACAGTAACAATATATAATTAATGAAGAAAGTTAAATATCTCAACCATAAAGAAACAGTTCATCACAATAATGTACTGACCTCTCTCCTAAGTAATCTCCTATAGCTGTTTTGTTGAGTCCCTCTCCTTTATATAGGAACTGGGCAACATTTTCTGCTGTATTCTGAAGCAGCCTATGTTCAATCAGGTACTCAATACCCTAGAATTAAATCAGTTAGAAAGTTTACTTGAGGTTTCCAATTAAAACTACTTAATAGTTACTTTTCCCATGACCTGTCACTGCAACATAACAGTATCATCAGTAATAATCAACTTTGTCACAATACAGATTCAATGTAAGAATTTTTATTCTAGTTTTAAACCTTGAACCAAGCAAAAGAAAATATACCAACAAAATATTTTGTTACCTCCAAGATGAGTAAATCTGAAACACACACGTTCATGACAGGTGCAGTCTATGTTCCTTGTAAGTGTGACACACATCGAGCAAACAAAACTCTTGCAAGTGCATTACGGGATAACTGTTCATGAAGGATATAAAATAGATTGGTGCATCTATACAACAATCAGTAAAGAGGAAAATCACCTGAAAATGCTGTAACTTATGACACAACAGAAAGAGAAAACAGTTGGAATGCTGCAGATGGAGACCTCACACGTCTTGGTTTCAAGTAACCTCAGATGTTCAAGAGTGACCATTACATCACTGTTGGAGCAATTCAGGCATACTGGTCAGACATCAGACAGAACTCATGTGACCACACCTAGGAAGATTGATATGTACATACATCTGAAAACATAATTCCAATTGTGATATCATTGACAGCAAATTCACCCGGTTATGCTATCAGCTTGCTCACTGTAAGCCAGCAACTTAGAGCTGCACATACCCATACAGACCCACACAGGAATGACAGTGACTCATGAACGCTGCCTTTACAGACTTAAGTGAGCAAGAAATTAAGAAGGATACATCCACAACTAGCACTGAGTCTTGTTCTAAGATAAAAGCAGATTTTCCTTATACAGGGCTAATGGCAGAGTCCATGTGTGTCATCACAGAGGGTAACAAACAGTACAATGCTGTGTACAGGAGACTGAGCCATTTAGAAGAGAAATTTATGGTGACCAGAGAATTCCACTTGTTGTAACCAATGGTAATTTCATTAGTCAGCATTACAGAGACAAAATCTTATAACCTGTTGTTTTTGCCCTTCATCCTGCAACAACCCCAGGGTAGTTTGTTTCAGCACAACAACATCAGACATCACAATGGTATAACAGTTCATCCAAGAAAACATGATTGATGTTCTATCTTTCACCTTATACGTCCCAAATAGAACATCTATAAGATCATCTGGACAACAAAAGCCACCAACCAATAGGGATGAGCTGAGGCAAGCCATCTTGAAGGATCGGAAACAAATTTCTGATGATGTCATCCATAAGGAGGCATGTAGTACCATACATTAGCACACAGGGTTTTCACACACTAGATAAGTCTCAATTTGGCGGTGAATATATACACACATTTGTTATAATTATGAATCTGACCCTGTATGGAATTGACAGTAATTGTTTCAATTTGTAAGCCATCCACAGATGTGATTTCAGAAAAATGTATTGCCAATGATTTGACTATCAAATGTATACTTTGTTTGGAATTGCCTTCTTGTTTTGTTGCCCAAATATGCCAACTTTACTTTGGTATACAATGCTACCTCTACTATCAATAATTTAATTTATCACAAACTTCCTGTGTCTGCATATTTTTAACCCAGATGTTCTAGGATCAAAAGGTGATCGCTAACTTCATACTCCTCCTCCTTCAAACACCACACCTTCCTTGTCAAGATCGACACCAACACAAACGTATTGCGTTACTGTGGTATTATGTATTATTATTATTGTTTTGAATAAAATTGTTTATTCTTAAGTTGAATTTATTATGTTCAGTAATTATATGGTAAATAGGTCTGGGGGGGGGGGGAAGTAGCTCAACAATTCGCACATGGCACATGGGCAGGAATGGACATGTGGGGATAATAGATGTAGCACTGTACTTTAGTTTGCTTGTCGGTAAATATTAGTTAACAAGATTTAACTTCACTTTCACAAGACAACATTAAATAAACTGCTTCCACATTTTTCCTTGACATTCTAGACTTTAGCAAACCAAAAATGATTTTTTTCTTTTTACAAATATTAACTGTTAAAGAAATAATATGTACGACTTTCGTTAATGACAAAATATAGCTTGTACAACTTTCTCGTACTTTAAAATAATCCTATTTTTCCTTTTTCTGTTTATAAAGTGTTTCAGTAATACAAAAAAAATCATATTACTTCGAAACTTTCTTTTCCAAAACTACATAAAAGTTTTTCCCATAATTCCATTCACTCCAGACAGATGTTTCAACTTCATAACTATTTATCTCTGCCTGTATTTACTTGTGTGGCTTCTGTCACACATAAACTAGTATATATATATATATATATATAAACAAGAAAACTAATACTTTTAAGCATTTTTTTAAGTATAATTTTAAGCTTTCATCACAAAAACAGTATCATACACAAAAAACTAGAACTGGTTTGATCTCCATGATGAAAATTATTCATAAGAAGGCATACAAGAATTGGAATTTTTTAACCTGAATGGCACCTTACATGACAAGTGGGCTAAACAACCAGGTTAGAGGTCTCTAGGGTTCAAGTATAGCTGTCAACAGCATCAGCCACCGTGAGAGCTCTGTCTGGCTCTCTGAACCAAATAACAAGACTTTCATAATGCACCGAGATGCTGAAAGTGTTCAGCAGGATCACGGCTCAGTATGCTAACCACTAAGTCAAGCCATCTCACTAGCCATATCTAAGAAATCTATAAAATTCTACACTCTGTTAACATGTTAAAGTGTTCAGCAGGATCATGGCTTAGTATGCTAACCACTAAGTCAAGCCATCTCACTAGCCATATCTAAGAAATCTATAAAATTCTACACTCTGTTAACATGTTAAAGTGTTCAGCAGGATCATGGCTTAGTATGTTAACCACTAAGTCAAGACATCTCACTAGCCATATCTAAGAAATCTATAAAATTCTACACTCTGTTAACCTTTCTTCAATGAAAGAAATATTAAAATACATCTGAATTATAACTTAATTTTTATGGTAAGTTTAAACAAGCTATAATGTAAGCTGTAAAACTGACTAGATAATATGTAAAATTGATACATATTTAACTGGTAACCAGTTGTATACACTATCATACATAAAAACAAATGTACATTAATTCTAAGACAGATACAGAATATTTAATAATACAGTGTCATTTTTGTACTTTCATACCTTTTTAGGGTCCATATTAAATTTCTTTTTTCCAATAGATAGCTGCTTTGCCCTTGAATTTGTTTTACTGAAAATAAATTAAAAGCCCTGAGTAAATTATGATGCCTGTAATTAAAAAAATATTTGTAATAAATGAGTTAAGGAAAAAGATTACCATTAATTATATATAATATTTATAAAGGAACTAAGGAAAAAGAGTACCATTAATTATATATTATATTTATAAAGGAACTAAGGAAAAAGATTACCATTAATTATATATAATATTTATAAAGGAACTAAGGAAAAAGAGTACCATTAATTATATATTCCAGTTATAAAAGAGCTAAAGAAGAATAGTACCAATACTTATATATTATATTTATAAAGGAACTAAGGAATAAAGTACCATTATTTATATATTATATTTATAAAGGAACTAAGGAAAAATAGTACCATTAATTATATATTATATTTATAAAGGAACTTACGGAATAAAAGTACCAATAATTATATATTCTAGTTATTAAAGAAATAAGGAATAAAAGTACCATTAACCATATATTCTAGTTTTCAGAGATGTTTCATGAATGAGACTAAGATAGATATTTTTATTATCTGTTGATTTTATTTTATAAATTTAACATAACTGATAAAAATTACTAGTAAGTGTAAAAACATGATATAACCTAGAGAAAGAAGAACAGGAGTAAGGTGTATTATTATTGTATAACAGTGTGGTAAAAAGAGTACATTGAAATCTAAGTGAATCCCATTATTAGCAAGCTAAGTATTTCCTGGGAAACAAGAAAGCTCTTTTTTTTATATTCCAAATGAACTTCAAGAGCTACATTAGCAAGCACATCAAGGATATTTCCCCTCTCTGAGGCTCAGATAGTTAAACAAAGAAAACCATTGTAGGATTATTTAGAACACTACAATAAAACAAACAACTCTTTATTCCAACATACAAGGTAAGATTGATTTACACAAGGCCTAACACATACAAATAGTTTTTGTAATGTATTACTGGTCTATTATATTCTGTTATTTCAGCATGTGATAAATAACAATGTGGAAAATTAGTACTGAACTCCTACATCTTTTGTTCAATTTCACACCATTAAAACTCTTGAAGTGTACTCTCCATCATTTGTTAGAGACCCCGTGGACATGTGCATCATACTTTCAGACAGATACATTTACACCAGCAATCATTTTATATTATTATAAAATATTAAAAGCAATCAGCAAGAAACCAAGTTTAGAGGATTTTTTGGGGAGGGTTATATTGTCCTATAATTCACCACCAATAATAATATTGATACAAATACTTTAAGTCAGACTAATGTTATAATTATTATAATGTTCAGCAGATATTTGTGAAAGATTTTTTTTTGTTATTTATCATGAAGATTGTGTTTCAGACGAACTGGTGCACCAACAGTAATTTTCATCATTTTTTTTAGTTTTAAATATGTCATGAAAAACAACCAATAAACATAATCAGTTATGCCTTAATTACATTTCTAATCATTAATATATATGGTGGATATAAATGCAAGGTTTTACTATATACAAAGGCACAGAATGAAACAACAAATAAGTGTCATATACCTTTCACCTTGGGCTTCCAGCTTCTTCATTTCCACAGTGACCTCAGCAATTTCATCTTGCAGTTGCTAGAAGAGACAAAAACCAGATGTCAGACAGGAAGTCTGAAGGTCTCAAACAGCAAACTACAGGCCAATGATAAGACATAAACAGTCTTGCTTCTGGTGGAGATAATGTCTCTTAAAAAAAAACACCACTCTCAAGCAAATGTGAAGATGATTCCCAAATAAACTGTAGCACACAAAATAAAATCCAATAAAAAAAATACTGTGTCAACTGCAAAAATATGCACTAACTCAGACCAAATATTCATTATATATTTATTTGTAAAAGTTTTTAATAGCCAGCTTCAATTAGACATAAACCTATACGACTTAATGTTTTTACTGTTAAAATCTGAAGACAGAAAAAAATGTAAGTTTGACTTTGTGGGACATAATGACACAATTACTGCACCTCTATTACAAAACGTGGGGTTACAAACTGAAATTAGGCTTATGTATGTATGATTCAATAATTCAATTTTTAAAGAAATGAATGTTCTTTTCATTTAAACCTGGTATGTATAATTAAGTACTGTTTCATATTCTTTAACCCATTCACTGTGGCTGAAACGTACATTTCCCAGTGGAAAGGTTAATCTAATGCAGAAGAAATGTCACAATATCGATGTTTCTAAAGCCTTGCAAAGGATGACGAAACCTTACTTTGTATGTGATATTTGGTGATTTATAGTACTATGGAAAGAATAACTGTGTCAGTAATTGTTTAGTTATTTTATTACATTGTTCATATTTCAATTGCCCCATTAAAAATAATACCTTACATACGTTAACACCCGAACTTGTAAAAAGCATTTCCACAGTTTTTCTACACTGTATTAGCAATCTTCACCGACTAT